AACTGTTTACCAGTGTATTTTACCATCCTATGAACGTTCATGCTTCGGAGAGAATATTTCGTAAGGGCATCACGTTTCGGTGCAGCACAGGGCATGCAGATATTCCTCCTCCTACCTCCCCCTTCTATTTACTACATATACACTTCCCTAACTGTTTACCAGTGTATTTTACCATCCTATGAACGTTCATGCTTCGGAGAGAATATTTCGTAAGGGCATCACGTTTCGGTGCAGCACAGGGCATNNCCCCTTCTATTTACTACATATACACTTCCCTCATACTCCACCCTCTCTCTCTCTCTCTCTCTCTCTCTCTCTCTCTCTCTCTCTCTCATATTCTATCTCTATCTGTCTGTCTGTCTGTCTGACTCTATGTTACTCTCTTAACCACTGTCTTTTGTTATTTGAGTTGGTGCAAACGATACACGTCTCACTATTCTCTCCATTGCAAGTTTCTTGAGAGACTTTTGCTTTTGTTCATTCCTATGAACTAAAGTACAAATATATAGCAACGAAAAGAAATTATAATCTTAAAGTAGGTATTTTAAAAAAAAAGATTATTTCGAATTTTACACATACAAAATAATAAAAAACGAATTTTATTCGTTATTCGTATTAGAAAAAAGAAATATGCCACAATCAATGATTTAAAATATTTTCATTAATTTGACAAAATTTAATAGAAGATCTAACGTTCTGCTTCTTTTATTTTTAGTTAATCTTATTTGTTTATATTTTTTATTTTTCTATAAAAGAAAATAATGTTGTATTCTCGTTCGAATAGAAAATACTCGTTGGATTAAGTTCGTGGTTTTTGAATTGACACAATTAATTTTTAAATAATACAATTTAATAACAATAATGTTTTCAATAGGATAAATTAGTTATCGAGGATTAAAAAAAAATAAAGAAAAAAGAACCCCAGAAAAGAGTCGATAAATAGGGTGTATGAATGTTTTTTAGAACGTATTATTCTACCAACGTCATCGTCTATACTCTCTACTTTAAAACACAGAACCGTGGAAAATCAATTGAGGTCGAAGGTTCAAACGAAAATAATTTATTTTAGATCACGTGTCTCGCATTTTCAAAGATCACATTGAACTTTCCTATTAGTCTTTGTCTATCTCGTTAATATAATATATTGAATATTATTCATTGTTTAAAATAATCAATTAATTAATTCTATATGTAAACTATTTTTAATTGCATTAGATTAAAATTTATCTAATATTTAACAGTAGATTGTCAAATATTTTGTATATATTTATTTTGCCTGAAATGCGTTCAATTAATTCAAACATCGAAATTATTTTTATTATACATATTTAAATTTTTGCAAAATATATAATAATAAAATTGTAAATGAATCAAATTAACGCGTATCTCGATAATGTAATATTAAATATTTTATCCTATTATTATCATACTCGTTTATATTTATTACTACATTTATAATAATAAGATTAATTGTATCCCCATATAATCGATGATATTACCTGAACAAAATAAGACAATAATTTATATATAAAATTTTTATTTTCATTCGTAATTTCGTTTACGTATAAATTAATTCTTCTTCTCACTATATCTCTCTCTTTTTATAATTAAAAATTAAATATAATAATTAAAGTAATAAATTAAATGAAAAACAAAATAAAAAAACATGTCCAAACGTAATCGACAATTTTCTATTAATTTCATCGTTTAATCGTTGAAAAATTCGTCGTTACTCGTCGTTCACAAATTCATTATCATACTTAAATGAAAGATAAAAAGAGAAAGAGAGAGAGAGAGAGAGAGAGAGAGAATATGAGATTATCATCGATGAACGAGTAAATTTATGTCGCTTGCGAAAGGAAAATGATGCTTCCCGATAATGATCGGTTTCGTTTAAAAGCAAAATGCGTTTGATACATCTTCGTGCGGTAATAATTGAAAATTATTTTTTACTTTTTTTTTACAACATATACTTTCTTTCTTACAATCATCATCATCATTATCATCATCAACAACAACAAAAACAACAACAACACCAACTGCAGTAGTAGTAGTAACCTTCTGAACATCTTGCAATAAAGTATCCATATCGATCGAGTGAATCTCAAAGGCACCAATTAGTTCTTGGTAACTGATAATTACGAGTTCCTACAAAATCAGACGTTCGATTTCTGTTCGGATAAGAAAAAGGAATATTAAAGAAAGAGAGAGAGAGAGAGAGAGAGAGAGAGAGAGAGAGAGAAAGAGACATAAACTTTCCATTTTTGTGATCAAGAAGATCGATCGATATCATCGATTTCAACTCCTCCTTTATCGTCCTTTTATTTCTCAATAACACTCGAACTTGTGAATAAATTTTCTGTCGTATTTTACGCACAGATAAATTATTCATTCGAAATCGCGTAACTCTGTTTAATCATTATATGCATTTTTTGGGCCTAATATTTCGACGTAAAATAATTATAAAAAAAAAAAAACAAACAAACAAATGGAGTTGAAATATTTGTCAATCCAATCAAAAATAATCGTATTTTGATAATTGTTTATAAATGATTTGAAAAGAAATAATAAAAAAGTAGAGTAATAAAATAATTCGTTTTGATTTTGCATTAAAATATGAAAAAAAAATAAATAAATAAAAATAATGCTTTTTAATCAATGCCAAGCGTAGACATTTTGACGTTTCTATCTTTTTTTATTTTCTCTGTTTGTAAAATAACTGAAACCTTTCATAATAGAAATGAATCGTGAAATGTCAATAAAGGAATTATTACGACTTTACTAGGAGTCAATTATCGCTTGCTACCACTTGCTTGCCCCATCATTACAAGCAGACGTGTGTAATACTGATGATGATGATGATGATGATGATGATGATGATGATGATGATGATGATAATAATAATAATAATAATGATCTTGATGATCTACAGAGATCAATCATTCTCATGATCTATGAGAGAATAGGCTAATATTACTTCTATCATCGGTCATATCTAAAGTTTGATATAAATTGTACCTTGCTTAGGTTGTTTTAAATATCATCATACTAATTCGATTTCGATTAATCGAATATATATATATATAATATGCGTTAATATATTAGCGAGTAAAAGAAAATATCGAAAAGTAAAAGGTTATCCTTCGCAATCCATTCACATTTACATTTACATTTCACATTTACGTTTAATATTTTACATTTATACTTTTCCTTACTTTCGATTATTCGAAACGATCGAAAAACTCAGCATCAGATTTTTCTAGTTACAATAAAGAAACATCAAGAAATATGTTTTCCATCCTTCTCGTTTACGTTCGTTACCGTGAAAAGAAAATTTCATGGTTTTGTTCATGCTCATTAAAATGTAAAATTACTAAATCCACATAAGATCTAATTATACGAAAAAAAACAAATAATCATTAAAATGTCAGGTTTGATGTAATAATTTGTTATGTATATTTTCGATTATTTAATTCAGTCATTTTTCTCAAATTCTTATAAATTCTAGAAATGAGTACTAATTAGGATAACTTGCAATACGGATTACGATTTTATGTTTTGAATATATTGTAAGAAAAATCAAATGTTAATTATATTCTAATAAAAAACAATATTTTCTTACATCGGAATGTGTTTTATGTTGTAAAATAATAATTATATTTTCTCTAAATATGTATGACCAATGACGAATAATTGAAATAATTGAATTTACGATTTATCTTATAATATAAATACTTTCAATGATAAATAAATTATATGAATTATGGAAATAAATTCTCTGTCATAATTGTCACAAATTGGTATAATCCAAATTATTCTAATATTAATATAAATCATAAAATGCATTATAATATTAATGGTTTCATATTATAAAATAATATGAAATAAATGTAAAACAAATCATAGATTAAATGATTATGATATTATTGATTGATAAAATCCACTTTTCTAATTATGAAATATATTTATAAATAAAAATCAATTTCTATAAACTACCTGCGTGGTGTTATATAATAAATAAAGTATATGTATTATTGATGATATCATTGATTGATAAAATCTACTCTCCTAATTATAAAACAAATTTTATATATATGTGTGTATGTTACCGTTAAAGACCGAAATTGGATAATGTAAAGAATCACATGGTCACTTTATCAATGTGTGTGTCCGAAATTTTAAAGTATGAAAATAAACTTAAATATATTCACAATCTTTCACCAACGTATTGGATATATGTTGACATTTCCTCACGTGAATATTATCCAATACAAATCTTAATATTATCCAATTACGGTCTTTCACGGTAACACTTTAGGTATATATATATAATATGTAAGCATTGTATATTTGTATATTGTAATATTTGTTTAATTTTTTGAAATAAATGTGTGTTGGTCCAGCCCTGAACGTGGGTGCGGGTTATGCGTGCGCATATCCTCTATTTGAAAATCGTAAAGATTGGCGCGCTAGGCGTCGTGTCGCGTCGGCAAGCGTCGCGGCGCTTCGCGCGAGCGCGCGTCTCAGGAGAAATATATCCCCCATCATTTCGGTTTTGGTTCTACGTCCGTTCGTTCCTATCGTTCGCGTTCCTACGTACGTACGATACACGTTCGTATTAGTTCGGTCTCTTGTCTTGTTCGCGAATCAACCGGCATTTAAACAATTCGTTCGGGAAAGACGTTTATTAGGAGAATTTTTCTATTAACAAATTTACGTATCAATTTTCTACGGGTACTATATATATATATATATACACACACACATACATATATAGGTATATAAGTACGCGAATAATTTCGTTTATTTAAAAAGAACTAGAAGAAAAAGTAGTAGTAGTAGTAGTAGTAGTAGAAGAAGAAGAAGAAGAAGAAGAAGAAGAAGAAGAAGAAGAAGAAGAAGAAGAAGAAGAAGAAAGGAAATATCTTTGGGAAATATTTCTATCATTCACGCACACATACGCATATTCTTTTTCTTTCTCTCTCTCTTTTTTTTTGCTTCCTTCCTTTCTTCTATCCCTACCCTTCCCTTCCTTGCCCTTTTTTCCTTACTGTGTTAGATATTTGAAAATTTCGTTTCGTTCGAAGTACCCGTGAAATCATAAACAAAAGTGTTTAAACAAAGTAATCGACAATAATAATTTCATATATAAATGTTGAAAAATTAAAATATATTTAAATACATATACATATAAATATATCTATCTATATATAAAATATTATATATAAAATGATTGACCATTGGTGGTATCGGTAGTTCGTGATTCTTTTCGGTAGGCATGACGTCCCCGTGACATGTTAGCCCGTGACCTTGAGTGGCGCAATTACAACATCTTCCGTGGAGAAGTTCGACTCCCGGTGCGCGGCTCGAGTGAAGAAAACAGCCGTTCGTTTATCGATACTTATCAAATTTATTATCACCATCACCACTATCATCACTATCATCATCACTATCATCACCCTCATCATCAACAATATAATCATCATAATAACCAAGAACGACAATTGTCAAGCAATCGTCAAATCGCATATCGTTTTTTGCCATTGTTGCAATTGAAACCGAACTTTGTTGTATCGTATGTACTATGTTGGAGATTACCTGTTAACGGGATTTATCAAATTGATTTTTTACTGCATCATCAACATCATCAGCATCATTACCATTATCATCATCATCATCACCATCATCATCAGCATCGACAACAGCAACAGTATCAGCAAAAGCACCAACAGTGTCACCAATACCAACAACGTTATCAACAACAATTATTATCACGAGAAAGTGAATTTCTTCGTTACAATCGACAACGTTGTCGTCGTTATTTCGAAGGTACCAACACCACCAGGACTACGACACCACGTATACGAGCTAATTCATCGGCGTTACAGCATCTTCAAGGATATCGACTATCTCTTCGTTACAACGCTAATTCTGATCGTCTTGGAATGGAAAAAAGGTGAGAATATAAAACGTCCAATCAATTTAATTGTTAACTAACATAGTCTACGAGGATCATCATCGACATTTTCATTACAATTAATTTTATCTAGATAATACGACAGATCAATCGGTATCTTCTTTGTTCTTTTTTCAATCATATTTTTCATGAAAATAATTTAATAAATCATTTAACAAAATATTAATATGCATATATTAATTAAATTAATAAATAATACGTATATATAATTATGAAATAATTAATTTCTTTAAATTATTTTATTCGATTAGACAATATGTCTAAAATTATATCTTTTGATAATATATATATATATTTATATTCGCGTATTTATAAATTCGACTAGTATTAAATATTTTTTTAAACCTACTCAATATTACGAATATTTCCATAAAATATTATTAAAATTATATTTTATCTACCAATGAGAGGGATTTTCGTTAATTAATTTCAATAGTTTAGTTAAATTCAACGATACTTTAACTAAATGTAAGAAAAGGTGTTTACAATTTTATCACCTTTGAACGACTATACGCAGAGGTCGTTCGAATTCGATGACAAATCTGCTCGTGCTGTTTGTATACGTTACCCCCACGCTTCTGATAATAATAATTAGTTGTCTATATTTAATAAAGGACAAAAAACTTTGTGGCCACATGCCGAGAATCATAGTGAGAGAGAGAGAGAACGAAAGAAAGTATGATTGAGTGAGTGAGAGAGAAAGCACACGTGTTTTTATCGCACGATTCAAAACAAAAAGAAAAAAAAGAAAAAACAGTCAAGAATGTTGTCAAGACTTGCGAAGAATATAATTATCATTCACATTGATAATTTTTCTTTATACTTTTCATCTTACGTATTTCTTTCAGATTTTTAACCCCATCGTTGTTATTTATTCGTCACTTTTTAACGTATTAATAATAACAATAACAATAATAATAATAATAATAATAATAATAATAATAATCACGTAAATTTAAATTATTATATAGAAATTTTTTAGATTTATTTTTTGTTATAATTTTTTATTATAAATTGTATTTTGTTTTTTCTTTTTTGCTTTATAGAGAGTTAGGAACAAAAAAACAAGAAAAAGGATTAGTGGATATTTCTAATACGATTATTTATAAGTAAATTTTCAGATTGAATTGCTTTCTTTAATTCTTAATTTATATATATTATCGTTTGAAGTATGTTTTTTTTTTTTTTAATTTTCAATTATTATTATATTACTATAATAATAAATCTAAATATTTATATAGATTTTCTCTTATTGAAAAAAAAAAAAAAATAAAAAGAATTGTAATACCCCTAGTAGCACAAAATATTAAAAAATATTGAATACATATGTATTTAATATTAAAAAGGAATTCAATTTCTTTCTAATATTAAATACATTTATATTAGGGACATACTACTAGGGACCGTATTCCAACTAAAAAATTTCAATATTCAAAGTAGCATAATTATTCTTATGCTTTACGTAAATTGTTCGTTTTTGTTGAATAATCAAATGAAAGTTATTGAAAAAAAAAAGTTAAGGTAGTATGGGAGGAGGAGGAGGAGAAGGAGGAAGGTGGGTTCCTGGGAAAAAGAAAATAGAAAGGAATAGAAGAAAACAAATGTGAAAATATAGAAATAAAAAAAAAAAAAATACAAATAGTGCAGGAAGAAAAGCAAAATAAAAAGAAACATTTTTCACTAACCATGAGTAGTGTTAGTATATCTATCTATCTAGTTGTTAGTACATATACCTAGCAACTATAGTTTGAAAGCACTCGACAAAATTCAAAATACGTCTTTGTATGTGTCCTTTTGAATCTATATACGTCATAAAAAAAAGAAAGAGAGGGGCAGACAGATTAGATTGATAGAGATGGATAGATTGATAGGAAAAAAAGGTACGGTCGTATAAAAGTGGATAAAGTAATGAAAAATGGTCTTCTTCCTATCGAATAATTGTTTATCTTCTTTTATTTCCGTTTGTGTTTGTTTTAGCGAACTATTTGGTCGTAGGATTTATTTCTAATACATGTATATATGTATATGTGTATATGTATAGAAGTATACGTTTATATATATATGTATCGTACAATATACATGTAATATTGTAACTACGATATTACCATTAATTAATTTCAATTAGAATAAATATATTTAATTAGAATGATATATATATATTACTATAGTATAAAATATTATTTAATTTTAAAATAAGATTTGATATATACGAAAAATTAAATTAATTTTTCAAACAAATAAGTATTATTATATTTTTAATGTTATTATTATTTGTATATATATATATAATAATACTTGTTTTATATTGTAAACAATTGATATACGATAAAAAGGATATGATAAAATTTAGTGATCATTGAATGACGAATTGACCAGGGGGTGAACGAAAAAGTGATTATTCTTTTTTTATTTATATATATCACGGGTTTGAATTGGTTAAATAACACGAAAAGAGGGAAATACCAATGTGAATAGCTATAGGAAAATGTGAAAGTACCACCGAGTCAATTTAGAATGACGTGAATCGATTTGCTATGTAACAGGGCATCGACGTGTTGTTATTCGTGGTAAAAGCTTACGACAAAACTTTACGTTAAAATAGCATTTTATGTATATGCATCTATGCACACACACACACACATATGCATATATTTATATACATTCATATATGTGTGCATTTACTTTTTTTTTTTAAATATTCATAGCTTTTACGAGTAAGTACATACTTTTGCGGTAAATGAGAACGATCAATGGATATCGCTTTTAGTTATTACTCAAACACGTTCATATTTTACATTATTAATAATAATATTATTATTATTATTATTATTATTATTATTATTATTATTATTATTATTATTAGCGAACTTATCGGCGAATTTTAAACTAATTTCCCGATAATGATCAATTTCGCGTATATTAATAAAAAAGAAAATCCAAAAAAATAAGAAAACTTTTCATTTACCTTTATATTATTTCAAAAAAATCATATTTACAATATTATTTATATATAAGCTTGGTAAATATTTGCAATTAAATAATACTAATTGAATATTAATCGTAAAAGAAATTTTGTCTTTAAATATCGTCTTTTTATGACACATCCATTAAAAACCATTATTTACAGATTAGAAAATACGTTTTAATCGATGGAGTGAGTAAGAGGAGGAAGATGAGGAGGAGAGTAAAATGTATGCAAATAAAAGCTGTCGAGGAATCCTTTTAAACTGTTAAATCGTTGGCAAGAAATCAAGGAAAATTGCGTATTTTCTTCCAGATAAATTTACAAATAGATTACAAATTGAATTCTAGATAAATTTTTATTCTACGCTTGGTACTATTCATTCGACATTATTTTTAAAATTCGTTTGATTCGCAAGAAAATTTGTTAGAAAACAAAAAAAAATTGATCTTTCCAATAATAAATTACTACACTTTGAGTTATATGGGAACAAAATTAATGAAAATAATATAAACATTATATATATATTTTCGAAATTTAACGTAAAAAGAAAGAAAAACTTGGGAAAAAAATAACTAAAGAATCATCTTCTCTCCTCGTGCATTTTAACTAAAATCTTTCGAATATTTCCATAAATTATCATAATGCCGTTGATTTTATCTGTTCTTAAAGACACCGAAGGATCAATCATTATTCAATAATGCCTTGTACTTTTAATAAAAAATATATATAAAAATAAAATAAAAAAAAAAAAACATGCGATTCCTAGAAAAGTGAAGAATAATAAAACAAGTAACGTCAAGCAAATCGTTTAATTGTCAGACGTTGTATACACATGTATATTTTATTTTATTGAATAATATTAATAGCAATCGAACGGTTCGTCGATCTTTATAAATGAAAGAGATTAATATCACGGTGTTCGAGATCTCGACTTATGGTTGGCGGCCTTTTCAATCCTACAAGACAAGGTAAAAAAGGTTTCTTCTTTCTATCCACATATTTAAAACGGACATCTCGTTGCGTATTTAAACTCGTCGTTTCTCTCTTCCTTTTCTTTTTTTCTTTTCTTTATCATGACGTCAACAGTTAGTCGCGATTATGCGTGCGATTCATTTTATGATACCGACATACTAACCATGATACTTTCAGTCTCGGTTACTGCGAACATCTGCAATAACATTTGATTTCTTATCTTCGTATCTAACCGTCACGAAACATTCAACGATATTTATTTTTTTTTCTTTTCTTTTCTTTTCCATGATTATTATGGATATATTATACATAGAGGATTAATCATTAAAACAAAAATAAAAGACAAATAATCTCCTTTGTCTGAATAATTTCCTTGATATTTTTGTGTATCTAAAAAATGTACGCGATAGGAATAAACATAATTCGTTGGTGAATAATAATTTTTGACTTAGATGTTATTTTTCATTTTTTTTTTGTTATAAGAATTTAATAATCATTAATTTTACAAATTGTGTACATTTATTAACCCTTTGCACTCGGTTGTCCCCTCTGAGAGGACATGAAAGTTTATTAACGATTACGGAGAATGAACTTGTTCCACCGCAATTTTTTAAGAAACACGTGTTTTCCTGTAGTTTTCTATTAAAATGGCACAAAAAACAAATCGAAATATGATAAAATTAAGAAATATATAATAATAAGATAATAAAAATGATAATAATAAGAAATATATATATAAGAAAGATAAATAAAGAAAGAAAACGGGATTGTATTGTCTGTTCTGACAAAAAAATACCAGGTGGAAGGCGGCAAACAACATTTTATTGTGAAACATGTACAAATCAACCTGCTGTGCATATTGGGAATTGCTTCAGACTTTACCATGCTGTAGAAAATTATAAAAAGTAAATTTTGATTTTTTTTGAAATATGTGTTCTTCAATGTCCACAAATACATATAAATCAAATTTCATTACAATTCCTTACTTGGTTCTAAAATTGTACTGTATAATATCACGTTTCTAGGGTGTACGTTTTCGCGA